AGCCCCAGCTAGGAGTTTTCCTCTGCAGTGAACTATGGTTCTTCAGTAAGTCTCTCTGGCTTTTTTTCTAGGACACATCCTCCTCTCTACCCCACGTGCAGAGGTCTTTCCAGGATCCTGCTACACCTCTCCCTGGGCCTCAGGCAGTCCTCTGCTCCGCCGACCACCTACTCAGCTCCCCTTTCCAAGAGCTGCAAACTGCCAGCCCTAGAGACCTATCACCTCTTTTTCATTCCCTCCATGCCTGCTGCATCTTTACCAGTGAAATTGGTTGTAAGTGAGCCTTTGTGTCTAGGCTCATCAGAGGACATCCCTGGTACCTGTCTGCCTGAAATCTGGAGCTTCCAGTAGCACTCAGTCGGCTACCTTTGCTCCCACCTCAGCCTCCAAGCAGATGACTGTACTTGGTTCCAGTGGTACCCAGGGGCTCGGGTGAACCTCCCATGATGACCAACTGCACTTGGTTCCAGTGGTACCCAGGGGCTCGGGTGAACCTCCCATGATGACCAACTGCACTTGGTTCCAGTGGTACCCAGTGGCTCCTGTGAACCTCCCATGATGACCAATGCCATCTTTCTTTCCCCAAGGCTACACCCCCTTGGGACCCATCAATAAATGTAACAGATGGATAGATCTGAGTCCCACCACGCCGTGTAGCTCCAGATATAGTTTTCCCACAGTCTGTATAATATATTACTTGTTTAGAAAGATCTCAAACATTTAATCAGTTAAAACATTCAGCGGGCAATACGTGAAATAAACTGGCTCCAAAGCTATATATTATTACCGGTATTATCTTCATAATAGTCCCCTGGTCAGACTCACTGATAATAATGCTCCCATTTTAATATTAAATTCCTCAGGATAGTTTTTAAAACAGTTTAAGTAATCAAAATTACTCATATTTTGTTTTAGATCACCTAGAATTCATACCACTGGGTGTTTTAGCATAACACAAAATTGTCTTCTGTGTGAGTTACCGGAACCAGCTGTCGGCATCCTTACTTTCTGGTTTGTTTGATATTATATGAACAGAGGATTAGGGGGAGAGACAAAATATAGTTTAGGATAGAAAGGGAAATGGTTTATGATGCAAACGCTGACTAATATGGTTAAATCATTTGATCCTCTTAAAGGCTTTGCAAATTGGGAAAGATTTTATTCTCTATTCCAACCCAATTTCAACGACTGAATTGTTTATACACTCAAACAAACAAAGTATCATCTTTGCTATTTGTCACTCACAAATATTCTAGTTCTTCTGGAGACATGGTAAGGTGCATGGCGGGATTCCTGCTTTGGTGATAGTTTGACCATGAAACTTACATTGGCTGATGACTTGTGAGTAGAAGTAACAAGAAACAAGATGTATCACTTCTGGGTGAAGCTTCAGGAACTGGGGTGTACTTTACCACATTTTATGCCCCTGCTGGGTTGAAATGGAGCTTTTATCACCCTGGTTCCCAAGTGCCTGTATTAGACATGTGGCGGGATAGAGAAATGCATCTTATGAAGCCACTGAGATTTCAGGATTGTTTGTTATTGGAGCATTACTGAGTCCATCATGACTGGTAATATAGGTAGCTAACTAGCTGATGGGTAGGTGTGTATGTAGGTAGACAGATATACAGAGAGATAAAAATTCAAATATCCTGGTAGTAGTTGTTCATGGGTAGGAAAGTAGGTCTAGAAATCATGACTCAAAAATTCCTACTCTAACATTGACTAATTATCCACTATCTTTGATTACAATTCATTTGAATCCCCTTACTCTGAATTAAAAATTATATTTCCATCCTGTTGCTATTTATTTAAAGTTTTTGCAAGGTATTTTCAGTGGGGAAAAAAAGGCAAATTGCAATGTAGAATGTACAGTAAGGCTCAGTTTTTGCCAAGAAAATATTATATATGATTAGAGAAATGTCTGGAAGGCTATATACCAAAATATAAACTGTAGGGGGGGAAATACAGGTGATTTTCATTTTCTTCGTGTATACTTATTTTCTACTTAAAAAAACATAAGCAGCTATCATGAGCATCTATTACTTTTGTTCTAATCAGTGTCCCTTCCTTTGGGTAACTGCCCTGCTTTTAGCCCATATGATTGTGGATGTCCTGAGAGCTAAGAATTATTCCCTTCCCACCTCCCTGCCTCCCCACCCCACCCAGCATGAAGGTGGTTACATAGCATCTGGACTTGGCAGGTCAGATGCTCTCCTGGAATCTGAATCTGTCTATACACACAGGATGGTGTGGGGAGGTGTATCATCCATTGGCAATGTCAAAAAAAAGAATCTTTAGAACTTCTTTGATTTCTGTCTTTCTTGAGGCTTTAGGAGTTACTTTAATTTTAGGGTTATGCAGTTTCTTCTGTTCATTTTACGTTTTTTTTTAAATTTTATTTTAAGTAATTTCTATGACCAACATGGGGCTCCTATGCATGACTCCAAATCAAGAGTCGCATGCTCTACCTACAGAGCCAGCCAGGCGCCCCTGTTCATTTTGTCTTTGGTTTCGTCTTTGGTCTGAATTGATTTGGGGGTTTGCAATGAAAATATTTTTACTAACACAACGATTACTACTTGTTTGGTTTAAAAGATTAACAAGATAAAACGTAAAGAATGAATTTGGTTTGTCCTCTTGCCTATGAATGGTTAAGTCAGGGAAACTTTTTAGGCTTTTCATCCTTGCTTCTTTCAAGCTGGTTGTGATTATTAGCAAGTTTCTTTTAAGAATGAACGAGACATTTGTAATCAGCTAGTGCTGGGTGTATGTGTGTGCATGCTCATGAGGACACGTGGTGTTATGTGATAATTGGAACTTAAGCTGAACTTATGTGAACTCAGACACGCTGGGAGTGTGTGAGTCAAGGTCATGTAAGCATGGGTATGTGAGAATGGTGGGTCGATATTCTTCCATGCTAGCTAGCCACCCACCATTTCATCCACACCTGCTAGTTATATTATATGAACATATTATTTCTGGCTTCTTTCATGTAGTGACTTGGACTGCCCCAAGCAATGGGCCACCCTTCCTAGCAATTTAGTCCTATGCTCTCTAGTACTTTTTACATAAAAGCTGTTCCAGGGGTAGTATTCCCTCTCTCATTCCCCATTCACTAAATATTTGTTGAGCAATTGCCAGTGCCAAGAGATATACCAGTTGCCGGGGATCGAAAGCAAGTAAGACAAGACTTTGTCTTAAGCCTCTGGGTTCACAAGGACCATGAGAAACATACCTAGATCCCTCCAGGTTAACTCTGGAGACTCCCCAAACCTGAAGCCCGTTCCACACCCCCCACTTCCATGGGAATGGGAGTCTGGTTGTCATTAATGTTACTCCCCAATATTTCCAGTTCTCCTTCTTTAGAGCACATGGTACCGTTGCATTTCCCTCCCTCTTGAAGTTAAGAGCAGCCAGGTGACCTGCTCTGGCCAATAGCATGTGAATGGAAGTAATATATGTCACTTCTGAGAAAAAGCCTTGATGAACAAGTGCATGGTTTTCTATGTCAGTGACTGGCCGTGTTCCAGATAGTGAGGCTCTATTAGCCTGGGTTCCATGATAAGGGTGATTTGGAACAGAATCCCCGACACTGACCCAAGATAGATGATTATGTAAACATGAAAAAACTTTGTTGTTTTAGGCCACTGAAATTTGAGAGTGTTTATTACCTCAGCAGAACCTAGCCTTTCCTGACAGATACAGTGGGCATCTCCCAGACCTGGCAAGAGGTTTTGTGGTCCTGAATCAGGCTCTCTAGTCTGAGTTGGGACTGCGCGTCCCCGGTGGCCTGCAACACTAAAAATGAACAAAGTTAACACTGAATTTAGTCTAGCTGGAATTCCCAGAAGCAACAGTCCTTTCAAGTTGAGTAATTCCCCCTTCGCTTCAAAGGGGCCGCCTCCCTGTGCCATCAAAGTCTTTGAAACAGTAAAACCCAAGGGCAGACCTACTTGGCAACAGTACGTCCATACCGGGTGAAAAAAAAAAAAAAGGGACCACCCCTGAGAACCAGGATTAGAACTGTCTGTTACAAAACAGACCTGAGGATGGTGGGCAAGCTGGTGTGCCCTTCTGAGAGTCTCTAATCTTGAAATCTGGGCTCCCCTACTTCACTCTGCATTTAGAATCAGTGGCTGAAGCCACTTCTGAGATGTATTTCGACAGAAAAAAAATGGTGCAGACATTACCAAAAACTAAGAAAATGCAACACAAAACAGCACAATGATCATTTTCTTATGTTATTAATTTGGCCAGAGATATTTTAAAGGTCCTGTGCTGGCAAGGGTGATATAAATTGCTACAGTCATTCTGTAGACCAATAATGTAGCAGATATCAAAAGCCTTTAAAATAAAAAAATAATATTAAAAAAATAGAAAGCCTTAAAAACATGTATGCTCATTAATCCCTTCTTGCATGGTAATAGAATTTTTAGCTGGGCTACTCAGAATAGAGATGATATTCCCAGCTTCCCTTGCAGCTGAGAATGAGCACATGGATAAGTTCTGGCCAATGGGATGAGAGCAGAAGGGATGTGGTGACCTCCAGGTTGAGCCGTGAAAGGACAGAAGTAAGTTCTCTTGTTTGCCCTCTTTTTCTTTGTCCTGCTGTCTGGAATCCAGATCCCTTGGACAAGAGCATCATCTAGGGATGCCCAAGCGGCAAGACAGAAAGAGCCTGGGTCCTTGATATCATGGAGCAAAACCCACCATTCCAGCTCTGACTTTATCCCAGATATAAATACACGTATGTTAATTAAGTCCCAGCATGTCACATGTGTGGCCAAAATATCCCAACTAATGCAGCAGAATCTCTACTTTTGGCGATTTATCCTAAGTCAATAATGGAGGATACGTGTAAAGATGTAAGCAACAGAGAAATTTATCACAGATCTTATGTGAAAGTTGCAAATAAAGTACTTGTGGTTTGGTTAAAGAAGTTATACTTTATTTATAATAATTTATTATAGTTTACAATGGAATACTAGGAAGCCATTCAAAATTATTACATATAAGAATATTTGCTGATGTAGAATAACATCTATTTTTTTTAACTGCACACGTAAGATGAGAAAATGATAGCCCATGTAACAATGTCAGCTTTTCCCTCTTTGCACTTGCAAAGAATTCTGAGTCCTGCAGGTTTCTCTCTCTCCCTCATTCTCGGTGGAAGGACCTGTCTTGCCAGATGAGCTTTCTTAGGCCTCTGTCTTGAGAACTGAGAGGAAAGAAAAAGGGGGAGAAAGATGTGAGGCACATTGGTTAGGGCTAGGAGGATATTTTCTGAAGGGTTTTGAGAAGTGAGTTTGAGAAGTGAGGAGAGGTGAGCTGCTGCATGTGGGACAGTGGGCGGGAGAAGAAAAAGGGGACTTTGAAAAGTCTGCCTGTGGGCCATATGCCTCTTCAAGGTCTTTGGGCTGAAATTATTTCAGGCTGCTATGAAATGCAGGCATTGAACCGTGGGATCTATCCTGGACATGGAAATGGGTCCTGAAGATATATATCAAACACCCAGGGTTTTTTGTTTTGTTTTGTTTTGTTTTTACTTTTTGTTCTTTTGTTTTTTAACCAGCTTTTCCTCTGGGTAGGTAAAAATCCATCTTCTGCTTTTCAGTTTTCTGCTAGTACTTCTCCACTTGTAGTTAAAAACAAATGCTTAGATTTATTTTTTTTAAATGGTTGCGGAGCCTTGCTAATAGGAGCGGAAACATAAATTCAACCTGTCCTTTTCCCTTAGCACACGGAGAGGTGAGGGGAGAGGAGGAGGTAATTTCCCACCTTCACTGTCTCCAACACATACCGCCAACTGCTAGAAGCGACCACGTGCCTTCCCCTGAGCCAGTGAGAGTCAGGTCAGGTGGGGTATGTCCACGGTTCCCCAACCACCCAGTGGTGGAGAGGACGAGGGAGCTCGGTAGTAGTCTGCTGCCTCGTTTCCGGGATGCTGGGACGGTGGACACGCTCCTGGGCACCCACGGCAGGCCCTCCCGCTACCTCACCAACAGACCTCCTGCCCCCATTCCTGGTTTTGATTTTTGGTAGGATTGAAACTCAGCTGGTTGGAAACCTGGTCACCATGACTCTCTCAAGAAAATGAATGAACTCTGCCTCTGGAATTCTTGATCTATAGCTTGGCACATACCTGATGGCTTGAAAATGACAGTTTCACAGAACATTCTGGTGCCCCTTTTGGCCCACTTCAGGGAGTATCGATCAGAAGCAATGAGGGAGGTCCCAGGTTCTGGTAATCTCAACATAGAAAGGAGAGAGAGAATGGTGTTTTGTTTGTCCACATTAGTGAGAGTTGATTAAATCCCTTCCTTGACTATTTTTAGCTATCTCTGTCCCCAGGGAGACATCCTGAAGTCTTCTGGGCAGCTCAAGAGATAAAATATAAAGAGTATGGCAGGAACACTTGGGCACTGTTGGTGGGAATGCAAACTGGTGCAGCCACTGTGGAAAACAGTATGGAAGTTCCCCAAAAAATTAAAAATAGAAATATCATATGCATTGCTTGGTATCAACCCAAAGAAAACAAAAACATTAATTCAAAAACATATATGCATCCCTATGTTTATTACAGCATTATTTGCATTTGCCAAGGTATGGAAGCAACCCAAGTGTCCACGGATAGATGAATGGATAAAGATGTGATATATACATATCACACATGTATAATGGAATCTAAAAAAAGCCACAAAAAAGAATGATATCTTGCCATTTATGAAAACATGGGTGGACCTAGAGGGTATTATGCTAAGTGAAATAAGTCAGGCAGAGAAAGACTAATACCTCATGATTGCACTTACATGTGGAAATAAAAAAACCAAAACAAATGAATAAACAAACAGCAGAATTAGACCCATAAATACAGAGAACAAACTGATGGTTGCCAGAGGGGAGGTAGGTGGGGGATGGACAACATGGGTGAAGGGGAGTGGGAGATCCAGGCTTCCAGTTATGGAATGAGTAAGTCACAGGAATGAAAGGCAGAGCATAGGGAACATAGTCAATGATATTGTAACAGCATTGCAAGGTGACAGATGGTAGCTACACTTGTCATAAGCATAGCGTAACACAGAGACTTGTTGAATCACTATGTTGTACACCTGAAACTAATGTTACATTGGTGTCAACTGTATTCAGATTAAAAATTAAAAAAGAGGGTGGCAACCAAGGTCATTCCATCTATAGAGGATCCCCTTTTAACTGGCTGCATTTTTTAGGGACTTCATACCAAGGCTTTGCTCCACAAAGTACGTCCCAGAGATTGACCTGGAGCTTATTCTATGGGTACAACTGTAGTCCTGGGGGAGATGGGAGGATGAACGAGAGACTCCATAATTACTGTGGAAGGAATATTTCAGCAGGTCATATGGAAGGTATTAGTCAGCGGTGGGCCACTAAACTGCCAAGTCACCTGGGGGACATGTGGTATAGTTCCTGAGGAACGGATTCCCAGCTCTGCTAATGCATTTGACCATCGTGGTGTAGGTCCTGGGCAGAGGACCCATGGACCCGAACGGCACGGTTTTAATAAGGATCTGCAGGAGTCTCTCTGGGTTTCCAATCATTCCACAGGGCTGGAAAACTCCCCAGATGGAGAGAGCCCCTGTCTTGATGGCCATCTGAGGATATGTCCATATGACAACACGTGCCATGTTACTTAAAAACAGAATGGAATGCCCTTGAAGATCCATGGGTAGTAAAAGTCCAAGTTGTTTCTTTTTTTTTTAAATTTTTTTATTGTTATGTTAATCACCATATATTACATCATTAGTTTTTGGTGCAGTGTTCCATGATTCATTGTTTGTTCATAACACCCAGTGCTCCATGCAGAACGTGCCCTCCTCAATACCCATCACCAGGCTAACCCATCCCCCTACCCTCCTCCCCTCTAGAACCCTCAGTTTGTTTTTCAGAGTCCATCATCTCTCATGGTTCGTCTCCCCCTCTGACATACTCCCCTTTTCTTCCTCTCCTGTTATCTTCTTCTTTTTCTTTTTTCTTAAAATATGTTGCGTTATTTGTTTCAGAAGTACAGATCTGTGATTCAACAGTTCCAAGTTGTTTCTTAACACTGCACAGGAATGCATAGTGGGAGCAGAACACTTTTTAGCCAGGACTGACTATGTTATTTGCATTTTTATTTGCAAAATAAAAACGAGGCCCCTTGTTTAAAAATTATTAAGAATTTCAAGACAGAAACAGGAGAGCATTAAATCAAACATGGAGTCCTTCTAACATGACGCCCTTGTGCCACTCGATAGGTTGTATGCCCATGAAGCTGGCTATTTTTTTAAAAATTCCCAAGAGAGTCTTTGAGATTGGCTGAAGACGGAGAGGGCCAAAGCAGGGTTGAGTTGTAACAATAATTGCTGACATTCTTCTCTTTCCTGCTTTAATCTCTATGGCTTTACTAAATATTTCCTCATGGACTATAAAACTTGTCCATAGGCAAATTTGCCCCTTAGTTACCAATTCATTTCCCTCATTTTCTTCACAGCCAGACTTCTCAGAAGACCAGGCTACAAGGGCTATTTCTACTTTTATTCTGATTAGACAGTCAGAGACATTTAAAAATCAAATTTTATCCCCCACAAATCTACCAAATCTTACCAGGAGGGCTGGCATGTATGAGTCAGGGGTACTTCTAATTCCAGGTAACAGATAGTCTGGCGTTCAGTGTTATGGACCAACAGAAGTGTATTAATTTTTCTCACAGTCCAGGAGGTCTGGAGATAGACAGTTGCAGATGTCGGTTTAACAGATCGACCTCGTCAAGATCAACATCAGGCTTTCACCACAGGCTTGTGAGATTTCCCCCACTCCCACCCTGCTCAGCTCCTAGAATCGAGGCTGGAAGCAGAGAGAAGGAGTAATGCCAGGCATATCCTCAGTCCAGATGTAAAAGAAACCACCCTAAAGCTAAGTGGCATCAAAACAACCATTTTATTATGCGCACAGATTCGGTGGCGCGGGCGTTTGTGCAGAGCACAATGGGGGAAGGGGGTCCTGCTCCACCATGTCGGGGGTCTCCGCTGGGAAGACCTGAAGTCCAGTCAGGTGACTGCAATCACTGAGACTCGTCCGCACTCCTAGGCTTCGCGGTTGGTGCTGTCGGCGGGAACATCTAGACCCGGTCTCTCCATGGGGTCTCCTGGCATAGGCTGGTTTGGGCTTCCACACAGCATGGCCGCTGGCTTCCAGAAGCAAGTATGCCAGAAGAGGAGGTGGAGATGCAGGGCATTTGTATGAGCTATGGCATCACTCTACCCTGCACTCTGTTGGCTAAGACTAAAAAAAACACCTGACTCCAGGGTGGAGGGAAGAGGACATTGACTCTGCCTCTTACCGGGAGGAGTTCTACAATCACATTGTTAGAAGAGCACCCCTGGTGGGAGATGCTTTTGTGGCCATCTTTGAAAAATACAATCGACCCCGAAACCCTTTTATTAAGAAAGCAACACTTTCCCAGAAACCAGCCAAGTGACACTTTAATGTCGTTGAACCCATCTAGGTCACGTGGGTGCTCAGTGGCTAGGGAGGGTGGGAAAGGGAGTATTTAACTTTCAAGTCTATTTAGTGGAAGCTGGGGTGGGGGAGGGGAAGGGAGGATTGTTAGGTAGGCGATCAGCAAAGGCTGTCACGCTCCCGCCCACACTCTAGCTTCAACCACTCCCTCCTCTCTGCTCTTTGTTCTCCACACAGGCTTCTAGATAGCACCTATAAAATTTTTACTGCATTTATTTATCTGTTTCTTTCGGCTATATTCCAAGCCCTTTAGACACAGGCTGTGAATTATTGTCTTAGCATCTCCAAGGTCTATGGCCCTGCCTGGCACAGGGGAACGTTTAATACAACCCTTGTTGAAGAAATGACAGGTAAGGTTCTAGAATTTCCTGAGTAGAATGACTTCTGGACTTAGACGTTTTGGGTCCAAGATTATGTGTAGTTTCAATGGAAAGACAGAAAGAAGTCCATCTTCAGTCTCCACGATAGCTGAGTTGCCTGGTGGCTTGTAGATGACAAAGGACCCAAAGGTCTAGAAGATTCTTTTGAATAATAATAATCCTAACTCCCTTGTTTTCTATAAAGTGGTTTTACCAACATCATCCTATTAGTTTCTCATAACCACTTTGAAAATTCAGAAGGGCAGATATTCCCATTTTGTATAAGTATCTCAGATTTAGGCTAAGTGACTGGTTCAGGCTAATATGTGGAGGAAAGCATGGTAATCTCTTTTTAAATTAACCACACATATAGTTTAAGTCTGGAAGCCTGTGTGATGCAATCAAAGCACTTACTGCCTACTTGGAGTTGGCTCTAATTGCGGTGCAGTTTCTGAAAATAACCACGAAGTTTAAAATTACAAGTTTACATACACACATCGAATATATATATATATATATATATATAGAGAGAGAGAGAGAGAGAGAGAGAGAGGCATTAGGATACACACACACACATACGCACATAGAAATATATGTAAAACCGAGTACCATTTACCTTGAAGTTATTTGACAAGATTATGTAAAATGACATTCTAGAAAAATAGCTATGATTTTCCTTAAACATAATTTTCTCTCAAAAGTTAAAGTAGAGTGATGTCTGTTTGCAGACTTGGTTTCACCCAATTCTTGAATGCCTGGCTTCTAGCGTTGGGAGTGGTAGAGACCTGTAGGAACAATAGTCTCGCTCAGGAAGCAGTGGGACAGAGTTGCGAAGGGTATTAACTCAGCACCACCTTGCCTTTGCCAAGGGGCTATAGCGAATGTCCTACGGAGCAGAGCCAAGGAAAGGAACAAAAGCTACCCAGGGTCATCCTAAAAAGGTTTCTGCATTTCCCTCGGAGATAATCCCCACTCTGGGTATGTTCAAACAAGGACTCCAGAAGTGGAGTGACCAGATGACAGTTACCAGAAGGACCTGTCAGGGTTAATCATGAAGGAAGTAAGCGAGGTACCTGATACCAGGTGAGTCAGTGTATTGTAGGCTCTGTTTTAAGAACAAGGGCTTAAAAATCTATACGTAGAGTCATTACTATTTCAAACAAATAATTTGGATCTTTACCATTTCAACCCAATAATTCACGGTGAACGTCGTGATGGTTCTCTACCTTTCTTTTACAGTATTTATCTTAGTGTTCCTGTGTAAGAGTATCAGTATATAAACCTTCATAGTTCCAGGACCGGGGGTTACAGGGCTCATGGTGGACAAGGGACTATGTCTTATTTATCTTTGTGTCTAGCAGAGGCCCCGCACATGGCTTAGTACTTAGTAGCTTAGTAAATGTTGTTTGAATTGAATAGTTCTGTGTAGAGGCTGCTAAGGCAGATAATAGAGAGCAGGTCCTTGGCTTAATTAGGTTCAATCAATACATCATAAAATTCCTGGGGAAATTCAATTATAGGTCCAGGCTACAAAGGTAAGAGCAGTGTCTGAAACGGCCAGGATTATTATCTCTCTCTTTTGGCATGCAGAAGAACTTGACCCCCATATCCTGGTGCCTGCAGGAAGTGAAACAAGGATCTGGCTGGCAATTTGAGGGGCAGCCTTAAAATGCTTGAAATGCATTTTCAAGAATGTTCCATGCTTTTGGTCGCTTTTTAGGAGTAGCAATATTCAACAAAAAAAGCATATTCCCTGTAGACCAAATCCTGGGTATGGCATAAAATATAATTACCAGTACCCAGAAGTCAGACACGTCACATGCAGAATATCTTCATGCCCCTGACAGATACTTACTATAATGTTGCATGACAACCGTGATAAGGGTGAATGAACCTTGAACCAGCTGGCAAATAAAAAATTACTTTCCATTTTCAGAAAGCCGTGTGTGGACGACCATGGCTCAGACTTCTGTCTTCTTCCTTATTTGATCGTTATGATCCCTGACACCTGAATGTTAGGTCAAAGTTTAAGAGCGTGCTTCGCTAGAACTCAGGTTTGCTAGAACCTCCTATTCTTGTGGCATCCGGCTGATGACAGATCAGGCGGCCACGCCCTTCCGTCGTGCTATTTATCATGGCATCAACTCGTACCTCAAAGTGGCCTGCCTACTCCAAGCTTGTCATCCCCAGCCTGAACCTCTCACCTGAGCTCAATTTCATTCAGTGATTCCTTCCAAGTTGATTTACTGAGCATCTACTAGGTGCCAGATAGTCTCTTTGGCGCTGGAGATACAAAAAGACGTGATCTCCTCCCTTAAGGAGCTTGCAGACTGAGACAGAAAAGCCCATATATGTGATATAGGGTTATCAGGGCTACAATAAGGGCATAGCCAGAGGGGCACCTGGGTGGCTCAGTCAGTTAAGCACCTACCTGTTGGTTTTGGCTCAGGTCATGATCCCAGGGTCGTGAGATTGAGCCCCACACTGGCCTCCATGCTGGGTGTGGAGCCTGCTTAAGATTCTCTCTCTCCCTCTGCCCCTGCTCTCTTTCTCTCTCTCAAAACAAAACAAAAAACAAAAATAACAACAACAAAACATAACCAGAGGATTCTGGAAGTACCAGAGAGTTGAGGATGGGACTTTCCAAAAGAGACAACCTTCCCAGTGGTCATTTCCACCTACCTAAGACTCAACATTTCATAATTTTCTCTCCAAAGCTTTCATTGTGGGCCACGTGGGTGGCTCAGTTGGTTGAGCAACCGACTCTTGATTTTGGCTCAGGTTGTGATCTCAGGGTCCTAACACTGAGGCCCACATCGGGCTCCGGGCTCAGCAGGGAGTCTGCTGGAGATTCTCTTTCCCTCTGTCCCTCCCCGTTGCTCACGCTCTCTCTCTGTATCTCTAAAATAAATAAATAAAATATTTTAAAAAACCCTTTCATTGCTTCCTAATTTTTTGCACTTTGGTAGATAGCGCTACTATTGATTTCCCCCCGTGATTTAAGTTTTAAACCTGCTGTTAGTATTTTCTTCACCGCCCCCCACCAAGCCATCAGCCATTAGGTCTTTTTTTTTTTTTTTTTTTAGCCATTAGGTCTGGTCAGATCTTCCTTGCATGGCAGGTCCCCAGAGCTCTGGGTACAGTGATGCCCAGAACCTTTGTTTTTTGCCTCTCCGTATCACAATTCCAAGCACCTGGTGTTGTCAGAGTTAAAACCCGAACAAGCTAACTAGCTCCAGCCGCCCACTCGTCCACACCCCACCCACCACCTCGCTTGCGGGTCACAGAACTGGCCTCCTGGCTAGCCCTGGCTTGCCGAGACCGACGGTCACCCGGGATGTGCGCCTGGCAACTGGCTGGCTTGCTCATGTGGCTCGAGGATGAAGAGGGCAGGAGGCAGAAAACAGCTCCACAAACCTGGGAAACAGTATGCAGTCCGTGTGAGTGCGTACGACATGAAGAAGCAGGCGAGGACAGGAGGAACCTAGCAATGCCCGGGAAAGCCAGCCAGGAAGCAGCAGTGACCCGAGGGACAAGATGCCCAGGTAAAGAGCAAGGTAATTGTATTAATTTGCCGTGGCGGTTGTAGCAAATTACCGTACGCTTGGTAGCTTACAGCAACAGACATTTGTTCCGTCACAGTTCTGGAGACCCAGAAATCCAAAATCGGTGTCACAGGGCTGCCCTCTCCGGAGGCTGGAGGGGAAAATCCATTCTTGCCTCTCTGAGCTTTTTTTTTTTTTTTTTTTTTTTTTTGCAGGGGAGGGGAAGGCATTATTCAGCCTACTGCAGTGATAAACAAAGTAAATTTGAAATCATGGTCCTAGCTTATACATCTGACCTCGTGTTTATTTTAGGACTAGAGCTGGGTTTGGGCAATGTGGATGAGGCACAGGCTATTTCTTTCCAGGGAAACAGCATGAGCAAAGGCCCAGGGGCAGCTGTGAGCTTGTAGGGAAGAGAACAGGAACTAGGCCAACTGCACTGGAAATGTCATGTGTACTTTGTCAGCGTGCGTGCTCAGACTGGCTACATAATTAAAGAGGGATGAAATAACATAAGGGCGGAGCAGTTGGGGGCTGCTTCCAATAGAGGCAGGACATTATTGCTTCCTGCATGGTAAATGGCGTCTTGGAAGCCTTGTTGTAGGAGGACCAGTCTGCTTTCTCCTTGTAAAGGCCACTCCCTTCCTGAGAAGCTTTAGGCAGAAGCTTAAATTAATGGTCCAGATGCCCAAATGCCATCTCCCGGCGCCACCTCAGACATTCCTCTCAACGTGTTACTAACATGTGGAGTCTTAGACAAAACTGTGAATAAAATCTAATTCCTACCACAGCCCACCTGGTCCTTTATGATTTGGCCTCTGAATGCCTCCTCGACTTCAATTCCTATTTTTCTCATTCCCCACTGGCCCCCTTTCACGTCTTCGAAGATGTCTAACTCATTCCTGCTAAAGGATTTTCGAATGTGCTGTTTTGTTTTGTTTTTTCTCTCCTTCCAAATTGTCTTCCCACCCTGTGCAGGGCTGGCTGTATCCCACCCTTCTAATCCTACCCTAAATGCCATTGTTTCCAGGAGATCTCCTCTGGCCACCATATTTAAAGTAGATTCTCCCTCACTGGGCCAGTCAGCTTCCTCACAGCACCATTTGTAATGGTGTGTATTTATTCTTGTATGTGGTTAGTGTCTGCTTCATAGTCTTCATGAGGGAAAACCGTTTCTTTGCCATCATGCACTCAACAAGTGTTGTTTGAGCACTTGCAATGTGTCAGGGGCTGTCCCAGATGCTGAGAGACAGCAGTGAACCAAAAGGCACCATCCCCGTTGTCAGAGGACTCCCATTCCAGTGGGAGGCAGGCAATAAACGTGCACGTGAATATACAACCTACCAGATGGTGATGAGCGCCAGGAAGAAAAATCCAGCAGGAATTAGGGGATACAAAAGTCTGGTGCAGAGTGCTGCTTTTTTTTTAATTTATTTTTTTTAAGATTTTGTTTATTTATTAGAGAGAAAGAGCATGAGCAGGGGGAAGGGCAGAAGGGGAAGGAGGGGAAGAGAGAATCTCAAGCGGACTCCATGCTGAGCGCAGAGACCCATACGAGGCCGGATCTCATGACCCTGAGATCATGACCCAAGCAGAAACCAAACATCAGACACTTAACTGATTGAGCCACCCAGGCGCCCCCGGGGTACTGCTTTGACATCTGAGCAGAGGAAGAGTTGAAGGGAGCAAGGGAGCAAGCCATGCAGATATCTGGGAGAAGCGTTTTCTGCATAGAGACAGGAGCAAATTCAAAGCCTCTGAAACAGGAGCAGTTTGGCTCATGAGCTCAAGGGAAGCAAGGAGGCTGGAGTGGCTGCATGGGACACAGCAAGGGGAGAGCACGGTAGGCCTGGCAGACGCAGCAAATACTTTGGATTTTGCTTGGAGAGGCATGGAGGTTTTTGCAGGGTTCTGAGCAGTGGGATGATAGGCTACAACTTACATTTTTCAATGCTTGCTCTGGCTTTTGACCTGAGAATAGACGGCAGGGGAAGGCAAGAATAGCAGCAGGGAGACTCAGTAGGAAACCATCATAAAAATCCCCCATATGCAGTGGCTTGACCCAAGGGAGTAGAGGTTGGGATGGAGAGAATGGTCAGAATGTGGATATATTTTGAAGGAGAGCTGATAGGACTTGCTGACAGATCAGAAGTGGGATGTGAGAGGAAGACGAATCAAGGACGATTCAATTTTTTTTTTTTTTAACCGGAGGATGCAGTCTCAGTATTCCAAGTTGGAGCAGATTTTGGAGGAGAAACCAGAACTTAGCGTTGGATATGTAACATCTGAGATGCCTAGGAGACATCCAAGTGGAAATGTTGAAGAGAGAGGGATGGATTTATGAGTCTGGGGTGCAAGCGAGAGGTTGGGACCAGGCCAGTTCACGAAGATGAAGTGTTCTCGGCACCCAGATTGTACTTGCCATTGGAACAGAGCAATAACTTGGGGACTTTGTGACAGTTAAACAGATGAGGACTGAAGACTGAAGCAATGCCCATATTCAAAGATCAGGGCCAGGAGGAGCTAGTTAAGAGGATGAAGGCCTGGGCGGTAAAATAGGAAGAAATAAGGTAAAGTCATGCCTAGGGGCCATGTGAAGCAAGCGTTTCAAGAAGGAAGGAGCCATGGGCTCATCGAATGTGGTGGGCAGAGCCACGTGTCTGTTTTGTTAGCTTTTCTCTTCATTGCTGGGCGTATGGTAGATGCCACATAAATGTGCAAAGAGATCAGGTGAAGCTTGTGTCCTTATTCATCTAATGAAGGACTAACTTTCTAGTTTCAGAGGGGGAGCAAGGACAGGTTTTTTGATCGAGATGAGAGGGTCTTAATATGGAGTTCTGAGCTCACCAAGACAGAGAAGCACAAGATGCTTCATGGAGACCCTATCCCTCCATAGGGCCAGCTAGTGAAAAAGTAGGGAGTTAAGAGTTTCTGTTTCTCAGGGAGGGTGCCTGGGGGGGTTCACTTGGTTCAGCATCTGTCTTCGGCTCAGGTCATGATCCCAGGGTCCTGGGATCAAGTCCCGTCAGGCTCCTTGCTCAATGGGGAGTCTGCTTCTCCCTCTCCCCCTCCCTCTGCCCCTCTCCCCTGCTCATGCTCTCTCTCTCTTTCAAATAAATAAAGTCTTTTTTTAAAAAAAAAAGAGTCCGTTTCTCAACACAGGGAGGAACCATAAGGTGGTGATGAGAGGAAGGACTCGGAGAGCTTCTTAACTAAGTGAGGGTAAGTGTCTGATGAGAAGAGAGACAGTACTTCCCTGACGGATCCAAAAAGGGATAAAGGGAATGTTCAGTGATCTTTGCCTAGAACCATCACCCTCCCTCTCACCACAGAAGCTGACCCCTCTGTGACCAGCCAATTGACAAATCATAGTGGGGGTGGCCGGTCCCTCAGGAGCTGGGGCCCCTCGAACAAAACTGACTCATCAATTCACCCAAAACAGTGCTGTCCCATAGGAATCTAATGTGAATCAGGTATGGAATCTAAAATGCTTAGCAGTCCCACCAAAAAGTAAGGAAAAAATAGGGGAATTAATGTTAATGATAGATTTCATTTAAGCCAACACATCCCAAGTATGATCATTCCAACAGGTAATCAACGTACAAAATATGGAAGAGACATTTCACATTCTTTTCCCTTTTTGTCACAATCTTTCAAACTGGTGTGTATTGTACACAGACAGCACATCTCATTTCGGACTGGCCACATCTTGAAGGCTCGAAGGAGCCGTGTGGAGCAAGGGGTTACCATATATTGCCCACCACTGGTCAAACACATGGCAAGCCAGCCACACACATACATTTCCAATGCACTGTTGGTGCCTAAATTCGAAGTTGCCTTAGCAGCTTTATGTCCATGGTTTATAGGTATTAGCTCCTTCAGAGGAAGGCTGGAGACCAAAGGAAGAAGATCCTGGGGGTTGGGGCCCCAGGGAGGGGAAATTGTGCATGCAGCGTCCCTCTCCCTACCTTTGGAAGACCATCTTCTCCATATCCAGATGCCTGTAGTTCCCTAGACGCTTAGGACCCTCGGATCCACAAGACAGAACTGGATGTATAAACTAGCTCCCGTGAAACCCCAATGTCAGCAGAAAGAAGAGAACAAACACCGTGTGAGCTTCTACCTTTTCCTGATTCTTTCCCAAGCCTTCATAGTCCGAAAAATGCCTCCTCTCCTTCCCTTGAGCTGGCTGCCCCGTATCTGGGGAAGGTCAAGAGCCATGTGAGTCCTCTGGGGGAGTTCCAGGCTCTCAGCAGATGGAGGCCTGGACACATGAGTTATGAGTGAGTGAGCCAATGTGTTCCATGTCCTGCAATGCTTACATTTAAACAGTTATGCTTGGGGGAGAAGGATATTTAATTCAAAGGAATGAATATACAATGGTGGAATTTTAGGTACCATGGATCCTCAATCTAAGGAGAGGGGATATTTTTTGGATGACAGTGTCCACTGGTTCTCTGTCATGAGCTGCTCGGTTGCCTAATCCCATGTTCCTTCCTTCTTTCTGCAAGGGGTGTTTGGACCCTGCCTGTAGGCTCAGTGTTCCTTGAGCTAGAAATGAGGGCCAGTGAGTCAGCACCTCACAGCTGGTCCTCCTCTGAACCTGAACACCTGTTTTTAGAAATCGAGCCCTTGCTTTTTCCACAGGACCAAGGCCACTCTTAGTCCCTGCCTGTGTCAGCATCATCCAGCTTTCAACCTGCAGGCTGAGCACCATCTGTTTTCCTGGGGTACCTTGGGCCAGCCTGGCAGTGTATTAAAAGTCCCATTTGCCTCCCTTCCCATAGGTGTGGTTTGGATTTAGTCTTAATGGTAGTAATAGTTCTGTTTATGGAGCATCTATAATGGAGGTGGGCACTGGGGAGCTTGGTGCCTCATACGCATTACGTCACCTAATATTCATGCAACCAGGCCAAGTACATGTTGTTATCCCCATCTTAAAGATGAGGCAACCACAACTCAGAAATATTAATTAACTAGCTGATGATCTCACAGCCAGCAAATGGTAGGATCAAGATTAAAACCCCAATTCGTCTGAGTCCAGAGCAACAACCAAATTCTACCATCACACGGTCTTGCTTCCCCGGGGCCGATATTTGGTAGGGCTGGGGTAGGTCCAGCACTTTCAAGTTTTCCTTCTTACCTCACGTGCATGTGGCTTGTCTCTGTGGCTGTGCTTCTGTCCTGGATCCTGACTTTTACTCCTGGGACTGAAGCTCACCCTGACCCCAGTCGACTTTGCTGAGACCCCTGCATCCTGCCCAGGGCTCGCCTACCTCCTCTCCCCCGGGGCTGCACCTGTTCCTTCCAGATGCTAGATGGAGTCTTGTGAACCGTGTGCCTGCCTCCTGCTTGGCTACCTTCATGATCTCGACCTGGAGATGGTTATTGCCATGTACCATCCGCTCCTCTTTAAATGGCTTGGGACTGCTATATGTGAGACCCCCATCGGGGGCTCACACTTTGTCATGAAATTGCTATGAGATGTGTCCCGTGTTCCCTGACCCTCCAGTCTTCACCCCTTTTGCCTCATTTCATGATCTCCCATGGGGCTCTTTAACTCAAAACCTAGTCTCAGTCAAACTCCTGTTTTATGACCCAGTGTTGGATTTGCTGTCTAAGATTTCACATGCTTCCAAGGTCTGCCTTCAACCTCACCTACTGGAATCGCTGCTGGGAAAGCTGTGCCGGGCCCAGTGACCTACCATAACTTGGGGGATTTTGCCCCAGTGGATTTTGCTTGGCTTCTACCTCTCGGAGGAGGGGGCAGGGATCAGGCTCCTGCTGGCAGATTTGAACACTGGCACCCACCCATGACAGACCCTCGTCTGTGGTTTGGACAGCTGGCTCCTCTCCTTGGGGCCATGCCCAAAGCCAAATGAATCCCTCTTGCTTGGTCACTGCCAATTTTCAGCTCATTCTTCCAGTGCTCACCCGCCCGCTGAGATCCTCGCATGCCCGGAGCTGAATGAGCCCAAAGCGTAGCATCCCCTCCCCCGGCCCGACTTTCAGAAAGCCTCTGCCTAAACTGCTGAGCCCTGTTCTTGCCTCAGGACTCCCTTTCCCGAGAGCTAGAGACTGCGTGGCCTTGCCAGGACCCATCATCGCCTGGCTCTCCCTTACCACAGCCCTCACTGCCGTTGGTCCATCCACATAGGCACCTCGCTGACCCCAAATGCCTGCCTGGATCACTGTTTAATGCCGCCCTCCCACCCCCGGACACCCACCCAAGCACAGCCCCTGCCTCCCTGATACTCACCACCTCATAACCGCTGTTGCTCCCATCATGGGTTCCACGTGCTGGTCTGTCTGGTGTCTGGTCCTGCCCGTTCCTCACCTGGCTTCTCTCCCTGGCTCCGATGTTTAAAATCTAATTGCCACGAAGGGACTGCCTGCCTGCAACTCAGAGCACATGGGATCCGGCCTGGGGCTCTTTTCATCCATCTCGCGGAGTACCCACTGCCCCCCACCCCGGCTTGTATTGATTTCAAGAGGCTTCATACGTGTACATCATCTCCTCAATTAGGTTTTGAGCTCCTTTGGGTTAATAACCGTGTCTTATCCTGAACGAATGTAATAGATATCGAGCCCTTTTGTGTCTTTTGCCCTCTGCTAGATCCTGGGGTGGGGGTGAGTGGGTAAGGGGGGGGCACGAGCACAGCATCATGAATCACAAAGTGGCCTTATAACTGGAAGACGCCTTTGGGGGCACCTGAGGGGCTCAGTCGGTGAAGCGTCTGCCTTCGGCTCAGGTCATGATCTTGGGGGTCCTGGGATCGAGTCCCGCGTTGGGCTCCAGGCTCAGTGGGGAGCTTGCTTCTTCCTCTTCCTCTACCCCTCCCCCCCACTCGTGCGTGTGCGCTCTCTCTTTCTCAAACAAATAAGTAAGATCTTTAAAAAAAAAAATAACTGGAATACGCCTTTGAAAAGAAATTGGTCCTTGACGCTTGTATCTGGTATCAGTGCTAGATTGCAGAACTTGCTGCTGGTCTTGACCCTGTATCCCTTGGTTAACGGTCCCCTTGGTGTATGTTCGATACCCTGCACATGCCTTAGATTTAAACCCTTCGTCCATGCAGCTCAGTCCCTTCACGGCTGAGGGGGAGAACGTGTGTCTGGGAGAGAGATCTGTTGGTTTGAGAAGCTGCGAGACTGTGAGGTTCTTGCTCTGTGCAGGGTATTAATGTGTAAGAGCTGCCTGTTCCAGAATTTCTCCAGAGACTAGCAAGAGTCCTGAACCAGTTGTCATTTCCGTCTTTCCGGTCTGACAGGATTGGGAAGGTCCGAGCTTTAGGACCCACTTTCCTTTCTTACCTGATGTTTTCCCACCAGCACACTGTGGGTTATTAATTGCCTGGAGTTGGAAGACGGTTTGCATTTACAACTGTAAATTTATTCACCCTTTTAATTTATGTCAGGTTTTTGTACACAACTCTCAATTCCTTAAGAGATGACAACAAATTTGGGTTTGCTCCTGTCATGTGAGAACAATAGGACCGTGGCAACGTGTCACTGTGTGAGGGAAATAAAGTCCTGCAGTGGGGAAAAAAAAAGAGAGAGAGAGAGAGAGAAAGAAAAAGTGGCCTTATATAGAGAGAAGTCATATGATTGATCATCCAAATTGGGAGACTTTTGAGAATGAAAGGGGTCCTAAAAATAATCAGTGAGGTTAATGTCTCCAGCAAGTGCAAACCATGACTATCGTGAGAAACTGGGAATTTTGTCACACTTCTTACGTATGGTCTGGTGTGGCCTTTGCAGGCTCAGCGCACTGAGTGGGCTTATGTGCAAGGTCTGGTGAGTGGCAGTGCCAGGCTCCTGACTCCTAGCCCTTGCTTCTCTTCCATTTGAATCTTTGCCCTTTAGAAATCTGTAATCTGGTAACGAACATACAAGAATCAGAAAAACAAAAAACAAAAAACAAGAATCCACAGACAATGTATGCAGTTAACTGCCAAGTAACTGATACGGGCAAGCACTTTTCAAGTGGTGTTCTAGAATACCCCAGTGTTTCTCAGGCTGTCCACAGAGGGATGACAGGGCGACCATATCCCCACTTCTATCTACCAGAGTCCCTCCGCTTAGATCTGCTTTCCATATTGGCTTCTGCTGGATTTTTGTCCTCAATAAATTTTGTGGCCTTCAAAAGCTTGGAATCTTTTGATAGACAATAAATAGAATGAAAATTGGCGGAGGGAGAGATTCTTCTTGTGTCCGTAGGCTTTTAGAAGCCAGGATACTTAAGTCAGGGCTTAAAAGATGGGCGTAATTTAGATACTTCTAATGTACTTCCAACCACATCCAACTCGATATTGTGATATTATGTGTTGCTTAATAGATACTAGTTGACTTTTTTGGCCCTCATGTACACACAAATACATTTTGTGGTTTAAAAAAAAGTACTATGATCATAGCTAACCAACATAACCTCATATTTTTTTCTTCGATTCCTTCTTCCCGAATCATTCCACATCCTCACTCTTCCTACCTGACTCCTAATACACATTGGGCATCACTGTTCCCAGTAATGATAGTTTGAGAATCTTTCTCTAGTAGGAGTGCCTCTTTCCCCCAACATGAAGGAGTCCGGTTGACTTGCTTCCCAGTGATGGTGATGGCCGTGTGATGGGGGTGTCATGGTGCTGCTTGTCCACAGGCAGGCGGGCTCGGGGGGGGGGGGGTCAGTGACTTAGGGCTGGTTATGGGTCTGATTGCAGCTGACTCCCACCCATAGAACACCGTGGCCTTGGCCCCATTCACACAGGAAATGGAATTGCTAACGAGCTCCTTCTATGCTGTGAGCACCAGCAAGCTGATCTGCAGGGAATGTGCAGGGCTCTATACACCTGTAGCAGAGTGAGCCTGGAGGGAAGCCAGGGAGGCTCAGCGCTCCACTCATGGGTTCCACATGCTGGTCTGTCTAGGCTAAGACAGGCTAGGGACAGCTGCTAGTAATTCCAGCTGTCTTGCTGGATGTAAAGAAGTGCAGATGGGTCACAGGATTTTCCTGCACCAGACAGAGGAGGAGATGGAAGAGAAACTGAGTTTAGGTCATGTCCAAGTCCTTCTGGCTCAGCCACCTAGGGTCACGGTGGTGTCAAAGGACACCTAATAAACTTCAGTTCTATTTCAGTTTTTAGTGAGATTTTTTTTTTCCTGTGTGCCCTAGCCCTGGAGCTTCAGATTAGATCACCTGCAAAAATAGTTAAGTTCAATTCCATCCCATCTTACAAAGGTTTTCTATCTAAGAAAAGGTAACCAATGAAGTTCTCTAATCTTCAAAGATCCACCACTCCCTCTCTGTGACCCTGGAGGAGGTGTAAGGAACTCTGTCTCCCTCCTCTTTGTAGATAGGAAATCAATTCTCTCCTCTTACAGAAGCATAAAGCTCTACCACATGCAGACCAGAGAACCAGACTGCCTGTACTCATTCAAATTATAAATGGACACCTGGTGACTTGCTACTTAGTGCCTGACATATGCCAATGTACATAAAATAAACAGAACACTTTGCAGAGGTCAAGTTATCGCCAATCATTAGTGACAAATTGCCTTGAATACTCTCTCTCTCTCTCTCTCTCTCACACACACACACACACACACACACACACACACACACACACACACACGGGGCAATGAGTAGCCTTATTTATTTAAGATTTTAGTTTTAAGTAATCTCTACACCCAGCGTGGGGCTCGAATTTATGAACCCCCAGATCAAGAGTTGCATGCTCTACCGACTGAGCCAGCCAGGCACCCCTAACCTTATTTATTTTTAAACATATCTTCGAATAGTTGCTATTCATTGAGTATAATAAGCACTTTACCTACCTCATCTTGTTTTGGCTTCACCTGGACGCTAGGAAGTGGGTATCATCAGCACTGTTTTACAGGAAATCAAACGACTCTCAAAGCAGCAGAGCTGAGCCCCGAATCCACATCTCTATGAAGCCCACTCTCTTAACCAGCATGCTCTACCCTCCTATCAAAGGCTTAATCAAATATTGACTCTTTATTCTCAGGACTTGGTTTTCACAGTACTTCTTTGATTCGGGAGACAGCACCTAGAATACCAGGCGTCCTAGAAGGTAATTAATGCTAAATAAATGCTTCCCCTCTGGGGAGTTGTGATATGTTCCAAGAACAAATGATAAGATCAGGAAAGAGTCTGGGATTTAGTGCACGCCATAGGAATTGTTGCAAACATTTTACTTATTGCCGTCAAAAGTGTATCTAAACCCCAAAGATTCAACTTTCCTCTAGCCTCACCGTGACAAGGCATTGCAAAGACATTTTATTATAACCCCTAAGGGAAGTTATGCTCCTGGGAAATGAATAGTTATGTAACACGGGCTAAAAAAAAAAATAAATTTATCAAACTTAGACTTCCATCAGGGTAGGGCAGATATGCCTCCTGGAAATCGGTGCTGAACAGCATCAAACCTGTATGCTGGGCACCCATAAACCTTTGTATTTTGATTTTGCAACATTTTGTGCTCTATTTATCAACTGCGTTTCAATGTATGTCACAAGAATCTTGGCTCAGGTCTTTTAGCTAGTAAAATAAATGCACTCATGAGCTTCAGGAACACAAACGGGAAATCGATTTATACTGAGAGCCAACTAAGGATTAGAACAAAAAAATTCTAGTGTCAGGAAGAGCCGGGAAGAAAACGAGAACAGGAGTTTAAGGAAGACGCAATGAACAACAGCGTGTAGAACAAAGGTTAATAGCCAAGCTGGGTGGGTCTCAGCTTCTAAAAAGAGGAGTAGGTGAAATTCTGGACTGACTGAGAATTGAAAGTGAACTTGATTCCCAGCGTCCTCTCTGATGTATGTGACTTTGAGAAACCCAATTATTCTGTGCCTCAATTTCTTTATCTGTAAAATGGAGTCATTGACCGCCTACTCCACTCTCCTTGTGGTTTTAAAGATTACCAAGATAAAGCTTACAACATCCTCTGATGAAATGCACTGCACAAATACAGAATACTTCTGTTATTAGAAACAACACTATATTTCACTTTCAATTTCCTCTGAGTAGAGTGTACGAAAGTCATATTCTAAGACAAATCATCAGGTGGTCTTTAAATCTCCCTATCCTGGGTAGTGACTTCCCCATCCTCTTTGTCGGGTTCTTATTTGGAATGCATCAGAAATCACAAGTTTATTAGTTACTCCAAGGTTCATGTATGATGCCTCAATTGGAATACACATCTACATTTAGTGTCTTAAATTTCAGGTTTATTTAAAAGCGTATGGGTGATGAAAATAGGAAACTGGATATTTTATCTTGTGGAGCACACTTTCTATGATAAAGATCGATCATTGTTATGTACAATGTAAAATTTTTAAGGAATGCATTGATTAGGAAGATAGGAACAATTAATTATTGTAGGAAAACAAAGAGGATTGCCAACATCCTGTTACGCTAACTTGGCATCTGAGCTTTAAAATAGAAGAAGATTCAGTCAGCTGCCAGTTCTTTTGGGGAGTAGTGGAACACGGTCCCCCCAAACCACAGCAGCATGGAATTAAGTGTGTCTTCTTACAGATACTATACAGAGCTTAGCTACTGACTTACTGCTTCCAAAGCACAATATTTTCTGGTCAATTAGTACAATACTCTGAGATGAAACTTCACCAGTGCAGCCGTAACTTGTTGAAATACAAACAGCTGTCGTCTTGAGAAACCACTGGTCCTCCTCTCAGGGTATCAGCCAGATACACTGTGGAAAAGAGGCAACGGGCTGCTTGGGAAGAGGATGGAGGGGGGCACCTAGAAGATAAGGTATCAGTTCTGGAATTCTTTTCCTTCCCGTCCAACATCCTGGTGAAGCAAGGCACCTGGCGCAATTAGTGTCTCCCCCAGGACAGCTCAGGTCCAGTTGAGTTCTGTGGACCAGGCCGGGAGGACATGGGCGTTGCCTTCCAAAGAGCTCTACCTCAGAAGAAAGAGCATAGACTGGTCAGGATTGGAGAATAGAAGACGTGTTGTGAGAGAGAAGAAATTATCCAGCCTCAAGGGCAGCTTGAGGAGTCAGGACTCGGAGAAGAGGAGCCAAAGGGAAAAGAAATCCAAGACGGGCATCACTTACCCATACCACCGGGTGCCTGAGGCAGGGCACTGCTCCAAGCACAGGTCTGCCCCAGGCAGCACCTCCTCCTTCAACAATAAGTTGAATGAAGACTTCTAAGCTCCTATATGTGCCAAGCGCTATGTTGGGCGGTGAGGATCCCATGTTATTCTTGGTCACTTACTATCCAATCCACTTTTTCTTCTGGTAATAACTCCATGAATTTCTTTTTAGGGAACCACTCCCACCATCCTTGCTCAGCCCACGTGGTTTAGAGAGTCTCCACCCCCAGCTCCAGGGACGCAGCAGGTGCCTCAGGGCTGGCCAATCACCACACTGAGTCCCCCTAGCTGGTGATTGGGTTCAGAGATGGCTGAGTCACTCGGGTTCCTCCAATCAGAATAAAGCCAGAATTTAAACTGGAAGCACTGAAAAGTACTTTCTCTTGGGATTATTAACAGTAAGAATGAAGTGAGCTGAAATTGCCAGGACCTACCACATAGGACCTAACTTACATCGTGGGAGGCAGAGCTAAGATGGAGAAAAATGGAATTCTGAAGATATTATTAGAGCCTCTGGATCCAGGCCAAATCAGTCTGGCACTAGCCCTAAACTTTACAATTTTATGAGCCAATGGTTTTTTTCTTTTCTCTTCTCTTCTCTTTCTTTCTTTCTTTCTTTCTCTCCTTCCTTTTTCCTTTCCTTTCCTTTCCTTTCCTTTCCTTTCCTTTCCTTTCCTT